GCCACTGGTTCTTCACGTTCTGTAGATGTAGATGCCACTGGTTCTTCACGTTCTGCAAATGTAGATGCTACTGGTTATTCACGTTCTGCAGATGTAGATGCCACTGGTTGTTCACGTTCTGTAGATGTAGATGCCACTGGTTATTCACGTTCTGCAGATATAGATGCCACTGGTTGTTCACGTTCTGCAGATGTAGATGCCACTGGTTCTTGACGTACTGCAGATGCATATGCCACTGGTTCTTCACGTTCTGCAGATGTAGATGCCACTGTACTTCACGTTCTGCAGATGTAGATGCCACTGGTTCTTCACGTTCTGTAAATGTAGATGCCACTGGTTATTCACATTCTGAGATGTAGATGCCACTAGTTCTTCACGTTCTGTAGATGTAGATGCCACTGGTTCTTCACGTTCTGCAGATGTAGATGCCACTGGTTCTTCACGTTCTGCAGATGTAGATGCCACTGTTTCTTCACGTTCTGTAGATGCCACTGGTTCTTCACGTTCTGTAGATGCCACTGGTTCTTTGCGTTCTGCAGATGTAGATGCTACTGGCTCTTCCCGTTCTGAAGATGTAAATGCCACTGGATCTTCACGTACTGCAGATGCCACTGGTTCTTCACGTTCTGCAGATGTAGATGCCACTGGTTCTTCACGTTCTGCAGATGTAGATGCCACTAGGTTCTTCACGTTCTGCAGATGTAGATGCCACTGGTTATTCACGTTCTGCAGATGTAGATGCCACTTGTTCTTCACGTTCTGCAGATGTAGATGCCACTGGTTCTTCACGCACTGCAGATGGAGATGCCACTGGTTCTTCACGTTCTGCAGATGTAGATGCCACTGGTTTTTCATGTTCTATAGATGTAGATGCCACTGGTTCTTCACGTTCTGCAGATGTAGATGCCACTGGTTCTTCACGTTCTGCAGATATAGATGCCACTGGTTCTTCATGTTCTATAGATGTAGATGCTACTGGTTCTTCACGTTCTGCAGATGTAGATGCCACTGGTTCTTCACGTTCTGCAGATATAGATGCCACTGGTTCTTCACGTTCTGCAGATGGAGATGCCACTGGTTCTTCATGTTCTGTAGATGTAGATGCCACTGATTTTTCATGTTCTATAGATGTAGATGCCACTGGTTCTTCACGTTCTGCAGATGTAGATGCCACTGGTTCTTCACGTTCTGCAGATATAGATGCCACTGGTTCTTCACGTTCTGCAGATGTAGATGCTACTGGGTCTTCACGTTCTGCAGATATAGATGCCACTGGTTCTTCACGTTCTGCAGATGTAGATGCCACCACCGCCGTCTATTACGTGACGCGGTTGAACTTACGACTCTCAGTCCGAACAGGCAACTGGACGTACGGGACAGGTTTGTTCGCATTTCTGAAAGTTCATAACTCGAACGTTCGTAAGGAGAGGAGTCCCTGTATTTAGAGAAACAAGTGAATGCATTTTGTCACCAGGGGTGTCGGGGGGGGGGGGGGTGGCTGGGTGGTCCGTGGGCTCAAAAAGTTTGAGAAACACTGCTCAAGAGGGAGGGTGGGAGGTCGAACCCCTCGGGCCCCATGTGCCCCCCCCCCCAATTTTTTTTTACATCCACCGGTGCCACCCCGTGGTGAGAGTTGCTTGGCCCCGGCCCTGCGCCGTGGAGTGGAGGTAAACGAGTGACTGCGCCACGGGGAAGGCGAGCGGAGGGGGAGGTCAATGCTGCCTCTTCATTAAAGGTCTCTACCACTTTTCGTATAAGGAAAATAATGAAAATAAAACAATAAAATGAAATTCTCACGACGTTTCGGCCACAACGCAAGCAGCCGACCTCGGGTGAAGAAACGGAGCTGTCGGAAAGACAGCGTCAAGACGGCTGCTTCCGTTGTGGCCGAAACGTCGTGAGAATTTTATTTTATTAGGTCTCTACCACCTCCATTATCCAGTGGGGGTTCCTTTGGGGGGGGGGTTCCTTTGCCCCCCCCCATAAGGAGGGGGGGCCCTGGGTGGTTTTCAATTGTTGGGTGGGGGGGGGCCAGGACGCCTGGCTGGGTTGAGGGGGCCCATCTGTGCTCGTGTTGCTGTTGCAATGTAGGCTCCTATTTAATGACGAGTACCCACGTGCTTTGTGAAACTTTGTGTAGAGGCGCTTACCACAGTCGTCGTCGTCGTCAGTATTGGAGGAGTCGTCTCCCTCGCTTAGGCTAGCTGCTTGTGAACACTACGATTATTATTATCAACATTAACAATAAACACGTGGTGCCGAGACCCACCAAGTCCGACTCCTGCTGCTGCTGCACGCGAACCGCGTGGAGGGGACACACGGAGAGGGGGGGACACGGGACACGTTCAGGCATTGAGGAGTGAGACAGGGACACGGTCAGTCACAGAGATGAGAGGAGAGAGATGACACAGGGACATTTAAAGAGACCGTGGGCACGCGTAAATTAGGGTCGGTCATTTTTCAAAGGCGCATGCATGGTCAGACAAGCACGGGGGGGGGGGGGGGGGGGGAGACACGGGATTCACTGTGCTGGTGCGGCCAAGGGGACTGTGGCCTCCACTCTGCGGCCTTCACCAGACCCTGGGGCCCCTGATGGCGGCCTCTGGGCCCGCGGTAACCCCCTTCCCCCCCACCGCGTTCCGGCCGAACTACTAATGTTGCGGGCGGCGGTACCCGGGGTCAGACGCGATGACCCCGCGGCCTCGGCTGAGTTACGAGGGGGCCAGCGGCGAAGGCCGCTCGACCCGAATTCGCTCGCTGGCCTCACTACAACAATCACCACAAACACCAACAACAATCACAACAATCACCACAAACACAACAATCACAACAATCGCGAGAATCACCACAACTACCACAACAATCACCACAAACACCAACAACAATCACAACAACCACCACAACAATCACCACAAACACCAACAACAATCACGAGAATCACCACAACCACAACAATCACAACAATCACGAGAATCACCACAACCACCACAACAATCACCACAAACACCAACAACAATCACAACAATCACCACAACAATCACAACAATCATCACAATCACCACAAACACCAACAACAATCACCAGATTCACCACAACCACCACAACAATCACAACAATCATCACAATCACCACAACAATCACAACAATCATCACAATCACAACAATCATCACAATCACCACAACAATCACAACAATCATCACAATCACCACAAACACCACAACAATCACCAGATTCACCACAACCACCACAACAATCATCACAATCACCACAACCACCACAACAATCACAACAATCATCACAATCACCACAAACACCAACAACAATCACCAGATTCACCACAACCACCACAACAATCATCACAATCATCACAATCACCACAAAAATCACAACAATCATCACAATCACCACAAACACCAACAACAATCACCAGATTCACCACAACCACCACAACAATCATCACAATCACCACAAACACCAACAACAATCAACACAACCACCACAACAATCACCACCACAACAATCACAACTACCAGAACAATCACAATAAGCATCACAACCACCACCACAATAACCACAACAACGACCACAACAACCACAAAAATCACCAAAACCACCACACCACAACAACCGCCATTCGCCACTAAGTGGTGGTGACGTCACCACGACGCTTGTGCCAGGCTAGGTGCACCTTGAGGCCACGTGAAGTGTCGAACGCTCGCTGGCAGGAGGTCACGGGGCAGACCCAGCAGGTGCCACGGGTCGACTGACCGAGATGACTGAGACGACTGGCTGATGCACCACCTGTGCCCCCTACTGTGCCAACTTGCTGTGCTTTAGCCACCCGGCGCTCCGCTCGTTGTTGTGAGCGTCGCTCCTCCGCCCTCTGCTGTTGCTGGAGGGCGACTGCCTCCAATTGCCCAGCAGCGTCCTTCACGAGCCTCCTCTATCACCACAACAACAACAACAACAGCCACACCGTGGAGGTGACGTCACCACGGCGCGATGGTTTGGTGGTTGCTGTTGTTGTGGTGGTTGGTGGTTGCTGTTGTTGGTGGTTGTTGTTGTAGTTGCTGCTGTTGGTGGCGTTCTGCACCGGGGTCAGAGAGGCGGGTCGAGTGGGCGGGGCGAAGTGGGGTGGGTGGGCGGGGCGAAGGGGGGTGGGTGGGCCGAGTGGGCGGGGCGAAGGGGGGTGGGTGGGCCGAGTGGGCGGGGCGAAGGGGGGTGGGTGGGCCGAGTGGGCGGGGCGAAGGGGGGTGGGTGGGCCGAGTGGGCGGGGGCGAAGGGGGGTGGGTGGGCCGAGTGGGCGGGGCGAAGGGGGGTGGGTGGGCCGAGTGGGCGGGGCGAAGGGGGGTGGGTGGGCTGAGTGGGCGGGGCGAAGGGGGGTGGGTGGGCTGAGTGGGCGGGGCGAAGGGGGGTGGGTGGGCTGAGTGGGCGGGGCGAAGGGGGGTGGGTGGGCCGAGTGGGCGGGGCGAAGGGGGGTGGGTGGGCCGAGTGGGCGGGACGAAGGGGGGTGGGTGGGCTGAGTGGGCGGGGCGAAGGGGGGTGGGTGGGCTGAGTGGGCGGGGCGAAGGGGGGTGGGTGGGCTGAGTGGCGGGGCGAAGGGGGGTGGGTGGGTCGAGTGGGCGGGGCGAAGGGGGGTGGGTGGGTCGAGTGGGGCGGGGCGGGACGAAGGGGGGTGGGTGGGTGAGTGGGAAGGGGGTGGGTGGGCTGAAGGCGGGGCTAGGGGGTGGGTGGGCTGAGTGGGCGGGGCGAAGGGGGGTGGGTGGGTCGAGTGGGCGGGGCGAAGGGGGGTGGGTGGGTCGAGTGGGCGGGGCGAAGGGGGGTGGGTGGCTGAGTGGGCGGGGCGAAGGGGGTGGGTGGGCTGAGTGGGCGGGGCGAAGGGGGGTGGGTGGGCCGAGTGGGCGGGGCGAAGGGGGGTGGGTGGGCCGAGTGGGCGGGGCGAAAGGGGGGGTGGGTGGGCCGAGTGGGCGGGGCTAAAGGGGGGTGAACCCAGTGGGCGGTTGGGACGAGGGGGGCGGGCTGTGGGGGCGGTGACACTCGGGAAGGGGGTGGGGCGTGTTGGTGACGTCACGAGTTGATGCGGCGGTGACATCACGAGGAGGAGGAGGAGGACGAGAGGCGTTTATTGCTCACGGGCTCCCGCTTCCGTCCCCGGCTGTCTCCCCTCCGTGTCTCCCCCCCCTAACAACAACACATCGCCGCTGCTCCCCGTGTCTTCTCGCCCGCCCGCCGCTGAGCCTCTCCCCCCGCCGTCGGTTTATGGTCTCAGGCGCGGGGCTCCCGCGAGGGGCGTCCCGTCGCGCCGCGCAGTGACCGGCGCCGGCCGCCGCCGTTGCCGCCAGGACAATGGATTCGGACGAGGGCTTCATCTACGATGAAGACGAGGTGTACAGCGAGGAGGAGACCGACGAGGACGACGACGAAGACGAGACGTCCGAGATGGGCGAGGTGGAGATGCAGGAGCCCGTGCTCGAGGCCGGTCAGGCCGGCGACGGGGACGAGTTCCCGCACGAGGTGCTCACGGCCGAGCAGGTGGTGCAGCACATGGTGGAGTGCATCAAGGAGGTGAACGAGGTGATCGAGGTGAGCGGAGAGAGGTCGGGGTGGGTGATGCGACGCTGTCTAGGGGGCCCCCCTCTTGGGAGCTTGGGACAGGCCGATGGGGTCGGGCTGTCACGGGGAGGGTTGTCTCTCCGATGGGCGTACGGAGACTCGCTGTCTAGAAGACACGGCGAGATCTGTCTCCCCGTGTAATGAGAGAGAGAGAAGGGGGGGGGGGGTGCTTGGCTCCAGGAAGACAGGAACACACGGGGAGACGAGGCACAGAAAGACACAAACACAGGAGTGACGATGACATGGGGAGACACAGTGAGACTCGGAGATAAACAGACACAGGAAGACAATGACACGGGGAGATCGAGACACAGGGACGCTGAGCCATAGAGATGAACGCGGAAACGGAGACACAGGGACACGGGAATACCTACACAGGGAGGGAGACACGGGGAGACACGGGGACATACGAGACAGACACGGGGACACACAGCTGTAGGGAGACACGGGTAGATGGGAGACACAGGAGGACACACCGCAGTAGGGAGACACGGGTCGATGGGGAGACACGGGTACATGAGGAGACACAGCGACGGAAGGGAGAGAGACACGAGGACACAGATGTAGAGAGACACGGGTAGATGGGGAGACACAGGAGGACACACCGCAGTAGGGAGACACGGGTCGATGGGGAGACACGGGTACGTGGGGAGACACACGAGGACACCGCAGTAGGGAGACACGGGTCGATGGGGAGACACGGGTACGTGGGGAGACACGGGTACGTGGGGAGACACACGAGGACACCGCAGTAGGGAGACACGGGTACATGGGGAGACAGAGAGACACAAGGACGCAGCTGTAGGGAGACACGGGTACATGGGGAGACAGAGAGAGACACGAGGACGCAGCTGTAGGGAGACACGGGTACATGGGGAGACAGAGAGAGACACGAGGACGCAGCTGTAGGGAGACACGGGTACATGGGGAGACAGAGAGAGACACGAGGACGCAGCTGTAGGGAGACACGCACGGGGGTGGAAGGGGGTGGAGGGGTGCCCGCGGCCCGGGTCGTCTGTCTGGCCCCGGCTGTAAGATGGCGGCTCCCCCGCGTCTCCCCCGCGGAGGCCGCGACTTGTGGAGTTGCGAGGCTGCGGCTCGCGAGGAGCCGCGGGGCCGCGGGCTCCGTCTCCCCGGAGTCCGTGCCCAGGCCCCGCGCCGCCTGCGCCATCAAAATCCAGCCGAGTCACCCGTGCCGGGCCGAAGCCTCGGGCACTCCTTGCGGCCTAGCGGGAGCAGGCGGCCTCGGGCGTGGGGAAGAATCAGGAAAGTGCCTAGGCTGCTCGTCAGCGAGTAGGCCTCGTCTGGTCGAGTTTCCAACGGCAAAAAACGGCGAAACCAGCGGGGGGAGAGGAGGGGGGAGAGAGACAGGGAAGGGGGAGACGGGAGATAGACAGAGAACAGGGGTACACAGAGAAGGGAGAGACAGAAGAGAGACAGGGAAGGGGGAGAAGGGGGATAGACAGAGAAGGGGGAGAGACTGGAGATAGACAGAGAAGGGGGGTACACAGAGAAGGTAGAGACATAAGAGAGACAGGGAATGGGGAGACGGGAGAAGGGGGGTAGACAGAGAAAGGAGAGACAGAAGAGAGACAGCGAAGGGGGAGAGAGAAGAGAGACAGAGAAGGGGGAGACGGGGAAGAGAGACGGGGAAGGGGGAGAGAAGGGAGATAGACAGAGAAGGGGGCATAGACAGAGAAGAGAGACAGGGAAGGGGGAGACGGAAGAAAGGGGATAGACAGCGAAGGGAGAGGCAGAGAAGAGAGACAGGGAAGGGGGAGAGAGACTGGGGATATACAGAGAAGGGAGAGACAGAAGAGAGACAGGGAAGGGGGAGACGGGAGAAGGGGGATATACAGAGAAGGGAGAGACAGAGAAGAGAGACAGGGAAGGGAGAGAGACGGGAGATAGACAGAGAAAGGGGGTACACAGAGAAGGGGGATAGACGGAAAAGAGAGACAGGGAAGGGGGAGAAGGGGAATAGACAAGAGAAGGAAGAAAGGGTAGAGACGGAGAAGAGAGAAGGGAGATAGACAAGAGAAGAGAGACAGAGAAGGGGGAGAGACAGAGAATGAAGAGGGGGGATAGACAGAGAATAGAGACATGGAAGGGGGAGACGAGAGAAGGGGCATCTACAGAGAAGGGAGACAGGGAAGGGCAGCGAAGGGGGATAGACAGAGAAGGGGGGAGACAAAGAATGGCAGAGCAGGGAGGGGGGAGAGACAGAGAAGGGAGACGGGGAAGGGGGAGACATGGAATGGCTAGACAGAGAGGGGGGAGGGACGAAGATGGGGGAGAGACAGAGAATAGAGACATAATCGAGAGAGAGACATAATCGAGAGGGAGAGACAGAATAGAGAGAGACAGAATAGAGGGAGAGACAGAATAGAGAAGAGATAGAATAGAGAAGAGATAGAATATAGAGACAGAATAGAGGGATAGACAGAATAGAGTGAGAGACAGAATAGAGAGGGAGAGACAAGAGAGAGAAGAGGGAGAGACAGAGAATAGAGCGACAGAGAAAAGAGAAGAGGGAGAGACAGAAGAGAGAGACAGAGAAAAGGGGGAAACAGAGAAAGGTACAGACAAAGCAGAATACAGAAGGGAGAGAGAGAAACAAGAGAGTGGAGCAAAGACAGTCCACCACGGCACGATGGAGGGAAAGACAGCCGGTGCAGTAGGATTAGAGAGGACTCGGGGGGTTTCCGAGGGGTGCAGGGGACGTGAGCGCTCGCGCCATGGGTGAGATGAGTGAAGGTTGGAACATTGGGACCGCGACATGAACCATACATTAAATATAACCAGCCATGCTCAATCCACTGGTGGATTAAGCCCCCCTCTCCCCCCCTAAGCTGCCGCCACCTCTCACGATCATGCGCTGTAACAATCCACCCAGCACATGGCACCTGAGCTGAATTAATGAGCCCCTACATTACCCTACATGACCCTTTACACTACCCCCTACAGGACCCTGACACTACCCCCTACAGGACCCTGCCACTACCCCCTACAGGACCCTGACACTACCCCTTACAGGACCCTGCCACTACCCCCTACAGGACCCTGACACTACCCCCTACAGGACCCTGACACTACCCCCTACAGGACTCTTTACACTACCCCTACAGGACCCTGACACTACCCCCTACAGGACCCTGACACTACCCCTACAGGACCCTGACACTACCCCCTACAGGACCCTGACACTACCCCCTACAGGACCCTGACACCACCCCCTACATGACCCTTTACACTACCCCTACAGGACCCTGACACTACCCCCTACAGGACCCTGACACTACCCCCTACAGGACCCTGACACTACCCCCTACAGGACCCTGACACTACCCCCTACAGGACCCTGACACTACCCCCTACAGGACCCTGACACTACCCCCTACAGGATCCTGACACTACCCCCTACAGGATCCTGACACTACCCCCTACAGGACCCTGACACTACTTCTACAGGATCCTGACACTACCCCCTACAGGACCCTGACACTACCCCCTACAGGATCCTGACACTACCCCTACAGGACCCTGACACTACCCCCTACAGGATCCTGACACTACCCCTACAGGACCCTGACACTACCCCTACAGGATCCTGACACTACTCCCTACAGGATCCTGACACTACCCCTACAGGATCCTGACACTACCCCCTACAGGACCCTGACACTACCCCTACAGGACCCTGACACTACCCCCTACAGGACCCTGATATTACCCCCTACAGGATCCTGACACTACCCCCTACAGGACCCTGACACTACCCCTTACAGGATCCTGACACTACCCCCTACAGGACCCTGACACTACCCCTACAGGACCCTGACACTACCCCCTACAGGATCCTGACACTACCCCCTACAGGACCCTGACACTACCCCCTACAGGATCCTGACACTACCCCTACAGGACCCTGACACTACCCCTACAGGACCCTGATACTACCCCTACAGGACCCTGACACTACCCCTACAGGATCCTGACACTACCCCCTACAGGACCCTGACACTACCCCTACAGGACCCTGACACTACCCCTACAGGACCCTGACACTACCCCCTACAGGATCCTGACACTACCCCTACAGGACCCTGACACTACCCCCTCCAGGACCCTGACACTACCCCCTACAGGACCCTGACACTACCCCCTACAGGACCCTGACACTACCCCCTACAGGATCCTGACACTACCCCCTACAGGACCCTGACACTACCCCCTACAGGACCCTGACACTACCCCCTACAGATGCCTGACACTACCCCCTACAGGATCCCTGACACTACCCCCTACAGGACCCTGACACTACCCCTCCAGGACCCTGACACTACCCCCTACAGGACCCTGACACTACCCCCTACAGGACCCTGACACTACCCCTACAGGACCCTGACACTACCCCTACAGGACCCTGACACTACCCCCTACAGGACCCTGACACTACCCCCTACAGGATCCTGACACTACCCCCTACAGGACCCTGACACTACCCCCTACAGGACCCTGACACTACCCCTACAGGACCCTGACACTACCCCCTACAGGACCCTGACACATACCCCCTACAGGACCCTGACACTACCCCCTACAGGACCCTGAACACTACCCCTACAGGACCCTGACACTACCCCCTACAGGACCCTGACACTACCCCTACAGGACCCTGACACTACCCCCTACAGGATCCTGACACTACCCCCTACAGGACCCTGACACTACCCCTACAGGACCCTGACACTACCCCTACAGGACCCTGACACTACCCCCTACAGGACCCTGACACTACCCCCTACAGGACCCTGACACTACCCCCTACAGGATCCTGACACTACCCCTACAGGACCCTGACACTACCCCTACAGGACCCAAACACTACCCCTACAGGACCCTGACACTACCCCTACAGGACCCAAACACTACCCCTACAGGACCCTGACACTACCCCCTACAGGACCCTGACACTACCCCTACAGGATCCTGACACTACCCCCTACAGGACTCAAACACTACCCCCTACAGGACCCTGACACTACCCCTACAGGACCCAAACACTACCCCTACAGGACCCTGACAGGACCCCTAGACCTGACACTACCCCCTCCAGGACCCTGACACTACCCCCTACAGGACCCTGACACTACCCCTACAGGACCCTGACACTACCCCTACAGGACCCTGACACTACCCCCTACAGGACCCTGACACTACCCTACAGGACCCTGACACTACCCCCTACAGGATCCTGACACTACCCCTACAGGACCCAAACACTACCCCCTACAGGATCCTGACACTACCCCTACAGGACCCTGACACTACCCCTACAGGACCCAAACACTACCCCCTACAGGACCCTGACACTACCCCTACAGGACCCAAACACTACCCCTACAGGACCCTGACACTACCCCCTACAGGACCCTGACACTACCCCTACAGGATCCTGACACTACCCCCTACAGGACTCAAACACTACCCCCTACAGGACCCTGACACTACCCCTACAGGACCCAAACACTACCCCTACAGGACCCTGACAGGACCCTGACACTACCCCCTCCAGGACCCTGACACTACCCCCTACAGGACCCTGACACTACCCCCTACAGGACCCTGACACTACCCCTACAGGACCCTGACACTACCCCTACAGGACCCTGACACTACCCCCTACAGGACCCTGACACTACCCCCTACAGGACCCTGACACTACCCTCTACAGGATCCTGACACTACCCCTACAGGACCCAAACACTACCCCCTACAGGACCCTGACACTATCCTCTACATTACCCTATTTGACCCTTTACAATATCCCCTATGGCGACTTGCACTACTCCCTACATCACCCTCTATTACCCACACATTACCCCCTACAGGGCTCTTACACGAGCCCCCCCCCCAAATTATCCTCTCCATTACCCCTACACCTACATTTCCCCTACAATTTACCCGCTTACTTTCTTCCCATAGGGGATTGTCCTTGTTGGCGTTATCCAATGCCTGTCTGGTTTACCCCTTTTTCGTGCTGTCAACGCTGTCTGTGTTAATGAATTTATTAGAATCTGTGACATTTGCTGTTATACGTAGCGGCCTCTAGTGGCTGCAAAGGGTATAGGTGTAGATATGACTGCATAGTGCATGCAGCCGCACGTAGGAATCGAGTAGCGTCGATTCAAATACTCGCGATTTTATGTTTAGGAATCAATTATATTACATCGTACGTCTAAACCGTGTGGTTGCCTTCACCTGTGTGGTTACCCATATGTGGTTACTGACGTGTGCTTACCATACCCTTGGTGGTTGCCGTCCTGTAATTACTCTCTGGGGTTACCTACCCCTACGTGGTTACCCTTGCAGTGTGGTTAACCACCCCCCAATGTGGTTACCCTACCCCGTGTGGTTACCTCCCCCGCCCCGTGTAGTTTCCTGCCCCCCCCCACCACCTCCGTGTGCCCCCCCCCCCCCCACTCGTGTGGGAGGTAGAGTGGGGGGTGGCTACTGCCCGCAGCTGTCAGTGTGAGCCGCGCCGCCACAGCACTCGGCACGCACGTGACTCGTCATTACATAAGCAGCGCGTGTTTACTCCACTCCCGTGGGGGGCACGATCACGAAGGCGGGGGTGGTAGGGCCCCCCTCCCCCCACCTAGGTAGCGAGGACATAGCAGAAGCCCCCCTTCCCCGTGCCCCCCCCCCATCTCCCCCCCTCCCACGCGTGCGGGTGTTGATTTGTAATCCGGTGTGAATCTTGAGATTAACTGGGCTCCCCCTGTCGCCCCCCCCACCCACCTGTCCCTGTGCCCTTGTGCCTCCACAGATCCCCGCCACTACCACCCGCATCCTGCTCAGTCACTTCAACTGGGACAAGGAGAAGCTCATGGAGAGGCGAGTGGGGGGTGGGGGGGTTTGCTGCGGGGTTCTGGGGGGTCCTAGGGGGTCCTGGGGAGTGGGTGGTCTCTGGTAGGGGGTTAGGGAGTTGGCTTGGAGGGACCCGGGCTGTGTGTGTGTGTATGTGATGGATGAGTCTGGTGGAGTGGGGGTGAGTGTGGGATGAAGTGGGTAAGCGTGTTGGTGAGTGTTTGCCAAAGTATGTTGAGTATGGGGAAGTGTTTGGTGAGTGTGGTATAGTGTGGGTCAGTATTGGTGAGTACAAGTTGGTGTGGCTGACTTGGGCCCTGGAAGCGGCGTCTGTGTGTGCGTTGAGCTCGGGGGGGAGGTACACAGGCTTTAACCCCTGTGCTGTGCTGTGTGTGTGTGATGGTGAGTGACCCTGTGCCGTGTGAGCGAGTGACCCCAATGCGGGACGGAGAGTGACACCGGTCCGTGCGGCGCAGGTATTTCGATGGCAACCTGGACAAGCTGTTTGCCGAGTGCCACGTGATCAACCCCAACAACCGCAAGCTGCGCTCGGCGCGGCCCACGTCCACGCGCTCCTCCTCCCAGGAGGTCTTCTGCTGGATCTGCTACCTGACCTTCCCTCCCTCGGTCAGTCTCTGCATGTTCGCTCGCTCGTGTCTGTGTGCCGCAACACGCGTTTAGCCCATACGCATGCGTAGAGACCCATAGGCTGACATAGAGAGCTATTGGTTTACATTGAGACCCATAGGCTCACGTAGAGACCCATAGGCTCACGTAGAGACCCATAGGCTTACGTAGAGACCCGTAGGCTCACGTAGAGACCCATGGGCACACGTATAGACCCATAGGCTGACATAAAGAGCTATTGGTTTACATTGAGACCCATAGGCTCACGTAGAGACCCATAGGCTCACGTAGAGACCCATAGGCTCACGTAGAGACCCATAGGCTCACGTAGAGACCCATAGGCTCACGTAGAGACCCATAGGCTCACGTAGAGACCCATAGGCTCACGTAGAGACCCATAGGCTCACGTAGAGACCCATAGGCTCACGTAGAGACCCATAGAATAATAATAAAACAAGTTTCAGGTACATTTTTGTGTAACCAGGTGAGAAGTCAGGAGACCAGGATGTGAGTCTCATTTGCAAGAGTGAGTGGCATGGGGCACCAAAACGACGAGAGCAAAGCAAATGAAGTAAGGCACGACAATACTACTATTTGTGTTCAGTCTAAAGAGCACTTCGATTCTAGTTGGCTGATTCTGAAAAAGAGAAGTTTCGTAACAGACAGCATCTTCACGTGACAACCGTTGACCGGTGGTTATATCTTCGCATGGGCCAGTGTTCTGGGACCCCCCTGATGGAGGAGATCTCCTCTGCCTTCAAGAATTGTAACAATATCAGTTCCACATTACGGAGCAGGATGATGATAAACTTGACTAAAACTCATCTTCTTGGTTCTTTCGGTCACGTGACTTTACCGAAAGAACCAAGAAGATGAATCCCTGCAGTCACGAACGCTTTAAATCGAAATTTTATGATGTTTAATTTTCATTATTTTATTATTTCCCTTCTACGTGACTTTACCGAAAGAACCAAGAAGATGAATCCCTGCAGTCACGAAAGCTTTAAATCGAAATTTTATGATGTTTTATTTTTATTATTTTATTATTTCCCTTCTACGTGACTTTACCGAAAGAACCAAGAAGATGAATCCCTGCAGTCACGAAAGCTTTAAATCGAAATTTAACTAAAATAGTTTTTTTTATTTTACTAGGTAAGGTTTATTATATATTAAGAAGCGATATGGCCACAAGTGATAGCCCAACGAAGTGGCTTATCATTTGGAAATGTACGTCAGCCAAACTCTCTAAAGGCATGTTTCTAAATGTGGAGGGAAAAACCGGAGGACCCGGAGAAAAATCCACGCAACCATGGGGAGAAGATGCAAACTCCATACAGGCGTCAGAGTCGGGATTTGGACCCACGACCTCCTGAATACTAGGCGAGGTAGCTAACATCTCACCACCGCGGCGCCCACATCATCATGATGATGTCACAGGAAGGCAATGCTGGTGTGATTTGTGATGAGAGAATTGGGGTGGGGGGGGGGCTGAGTTACGGACCCCAGGCTGGGACCCGTAACTTGGCGTTGTCAAGTGCTTGCAGGGGGGGTCCCTGTGTGTCAGACCCATCACGGAGTTTTGGTAAATAACACTGTTACACAATTTTTGTTCCTGGGTAGTAAGTGTTATTTCGTAATTGCTTATGCCAAAAAAGTACAGAAAATGGCTTATTCCCCACAAAAGGACAGTGATATTTAGAAATGTACCTGTTTTGAATGAGAAAACGGGCACATTTGTGTCTTTTTGTTCACATAGGCAGAAAAAAAACAACATATGACTCAAATTTAACATGTATTTATACTAAAGTAATACAAAAAGGACTACAAAAGATTTAGAAATGAGTAGTTTTTCGAGATGTACGATTATACTGTAAATCACTTTCATGAATCAGCCCCCAAATGTAGTCTCCCATCATGTTCTCGTTATACTGTCCATGGTCGCGGCGTTCAAAGTCCAGTATATCCTGGTGGAAGCGCTCGCTTTGCTCCTCCGAGTACGCTCCCATGTTCTCCTTGAATTTATCAAGATGAGCATCAAGGATATGGACTTTGAGGGACATCCTACAGCCCATTGTGTCGTAGTTCTTCACCAGAGTCTCAACCAGCTCCACATAATTTTCGACCACGAACCACTGCGACAAAGCTGTTCCAAGCCACTTTCTCCTTACTCGTGAGCTTCTTGGGGAATTCATTGCACTCCAGGATCTTCTTTATTTGTGGTCTGACGAAGACACCGGCTTTGACCTTTGCCTCAGACAGCTTAGGGAAGAAGTCTTGAAGGTACTTGAAGGCTGCCGACTCCTTATCTACAGCTCTGACATTGTTTCATAAGGCCCAATTTGATGTGCAGTGGTGGCATCAGCACCTTCCGGGGGTCCACCAGTGGCTCCCACTTGACGTTGTTCCTCCGCACAGAGAACTCGGTCCGCTGTGGGCAGTCCTGCCTGTAGTAGTGCGCATTGGTGTCCCTGCTGTCCCAAAGGCAAAGATAGCAGGGAAACTTGGTAAAACCACCTTGGAGACCCATCAGGAATGCCACGATTTTGAAGTCTCCGATGACCTCTCAGCCATACTCATATTTCAAGGCATCCAGCAAGATCTTGATGCTGTTGTAATCCTCTTTGAGGTTCACCGAGTGAGCCAGGGGAAGAGACGGGTACTTGTTACCATTATGGAGCAGCACGGCTTTGAGGCTTCTGGATGAGCTGTCAATGAAGAGGCGCCACTCATTCTGGTTACAGGCGATTCCGATTGCCTCGAACAGACTGGTCACATTGTGGCAGAAGCAGAGCCCATCTTGGCGGGTGAAGAAGCTGCAAAAAGGTTGGGACGCTTCCTCTGATCTGCGACTTGCACACTTTCATCCAACAAGTTCCACTGCTTGAGCCGAGACGTCAAAAGCTCGGCATTGGACTTGGTGAGACCAAGATTTCTGATCAAGTCATCGAGGTCTTTTTGGTTGGGGTAGTATGGGTTTCTCTTCTCAGCGCCACCTCTGAAATTGTCATCTGGATCTACATCGTCCTTCTCGCTCCCTGACTTGCTGCTCTCTTCTAAAGACGGCTGCTCTCTCTCCGGAGGAGTGGGTATGGGGAGCTAATTGCAGTGTGGCACCGGGGCGATGGATGAAGGAAGGTCCGGATACGTGATAGCAGGTGCATTCTTGCCAGTCTGACGTTTGGAAGGGTTCACCATGCAGAAGTAGCAGTTGCTTGAGTGGTCAGTGGGTTCCCGCCAAATTCTTGGGATAGCGAACTTCATGGCTCTCTTTTCCCCTCTGTACCATCCTACAAAAATACATTTATTTCACCCATGACTAATGTGTAAGATTTTCTCACAACATTTTTAATGTATGATATATTTTGTTCAATGACATTGAAAATTGTAAAACATTTCAAATAAAAAAAACTTTTACAATTAAAATTTGTAAACAAATTTTATAACACAAAATTCCGAACAACAATTATCCATCTTACCTTCCAGAGTTTTTTAGCATTGCTCGCAGGTGAAATGAGGTGCCCAGGGTTTGTCTTGATCCCCGACAGGCATGCCGAAATATGCCTTGTAGGCCTCGCACATCTTAGCAGATGCGCCCATAGAGTCCTTTTTCGCTCTTGTCTTGATAAATTGGCCGCAGACATAGCAAAATGCGTCTGACGGATGCTTGCAGCCTCTTAATGCCATCTCAGAAAAATGCAGATATGTATCCACTTAGGCAGCTGGAGCTAAACTGAACTGGTGGGCTTAAGGCCCCTGTATTTATACTACTATTGATATTACTGGAAAGTTCTAGAATGTTCTAGAAGTTACTCCAAGTTTACTCAGCACTGAATCTATCTGGAATATTCTGGAAAAGAGGTACATTTCAAAATATCACTGTCCTGGTCACAAAAGCAACGTTTGTGGGGAATAATAGCCATTTTCTCTACTTTTGAGGCATAAGCAATTAGGAAATTACACTTGCTACCCAGGAACAAAAAAAAAACCTGCTACAGCAGTGTAATTCTCTGAATGTTTTTCCAAAACTTAATTTTGTAATTGCACTGTAATGGGTCTAAAAATACATCTGCCCAAGTCGGTGCACGCTGCGGGGAATCGATGACTTGCGGTTGGGCGGTGGCTCTGCTGCACGTGGCCTGCGATCCGTGGCCTGCGATCCGTGGCATGCACAGCGAAGCCACCGTCGTCGGTGACTCACACCGCGGTGTTGTGAGACTCCCTTGACCGTGGGCGTAGTGGAGGAGCTTTCCCATGGCTCGCCCAGAGAATGCAGTACGGCAAGAAAAAAAGTGGATTCCACCGGTTCCATCTATATGGAGCAGAGTGGGGTTTGTCCGGTTTTCACCCCAGTTTCCTCCTGCGTATAAACACTCAACATGAATTGGCTGATAACACCTTCATATAGTAGTAGGTTCTTACCCTTTAAACTGGTACAAAACTGACACCTTTATACAAGGCATCATGTTTGCAATAACCGCAACACAAGCAGTCAAATTGCAAACAAAAAGAAAAAACTCTGATAATGTATGCACTGTCCTTGGAGTTAGCGTCAGTCTGCTCCAACACCAGTGGAGACTAGGCTCTAAGGAAAGCTGTCTCGGGTGTAGACCAATCAACTTCAAGGACAGTGCATATCATCAGAGTTGTTTATTTTTGTTTGCAATTTGACTGCTTGTGTTGTGGTTATTGCAAACATGATGCCTTGTATAAAGGTGTCAGTTTTGTACCAGTTGAAAGGGTAAAAACCTACTACTATATTTTGCCACTGGTGAAGGAGATGTCTCATAGTGTAAACACCTTCATATGTAGAGGACCTACGAGCTTGGGGAGGAATTTGGTGCAGACTCGCCGCGCGTGGCTGCTGCTGCTGCCTTCCCGCTCGTCTGCGGTTCCTCCTCCTGGTGGCGCCTCTGAGTCGTCGTCGTCCCCCCAACCCTCTCTCTGCCTACGAGAGCGAGCGCACTTGCGGTGGCGACGCAGCGTTACAAGTCAAGATTATTGTGAACATAATTTCACGTTGATTTACGTTTGCGCAATATTTTTCACGTTAAGTTGCAGTTCATTTTGCTTTGTGGCTATTTTTTTTTACTTGTTTTTTTGGAGAACCAGGTCACTCACTCTTGCAAATGAGACTCGTCACCCGGCCCTGGTTACACAAAATCAACATGAATCTTGCAGCTATTATTATTGTTATTTCACTCGCTCGCTTACCCAGAAAAGCCTTGCTGAGTCTCAAGGCTCTTTCAGGAGGAGGGTCCTGCCAAGGTTTTTCAGGAGTGGGGCGTGAGGTTTGCCATGACCCACAATATTCCCTTGACGTCCCCACGCTGTTGAAGCTGCGTGTCAGGCCCATCGCGTCGGCGTGGTTTTTATAAGGAATTTATTTTCCTTATTTAGAAAAATCTGTCCCGCCCGCGTGAGCCTTTCCGTTTTGCCTGCGTGCTAATAGTAAATACAGGGTGACATGTCACCTGGGTACACGTACAGTGCGAAAGAAGTTCAACATACATACATGTATACAGCTCGTATACACTTTCAGTTACTCTGGGTACAGATCCGTTTGTGTGTCGGCGAGAAGTTTTTACTGGCTGGCCTTATAAAGACAAAGATCTCCCGTATAGCCTCGAACAGACTGTTGGGGCAAGTGCCGTTGGTGAGCACCTGTGAAGGCCGGCACAGCACACGATGGGGTGGGTGGCCAGCACCATGATGGGCCACGTTTGTTTCCCCAGTGGCGATGTTTACACACCGCACCAGGCGCTCATTTAAGGCTGAGTTTACCTCGGGGAGGCCCAGTACCGATTCAGATAATCGCTACTGTTATTGATCGTGAGTGGGAATCGAACTCGGGTCACCAGGTTTCTTCGAGCGCTAACCACTGCGTCACCGCTCCTCACAAAGCCGTCACCACACGCAATGTTCGGGGAAGCTAACGTGAATTAGTAGTGAGCTACTTTGACACAAGTAGCTGCTATTCTAAAAGCTTCTAAAACGTAGCCTCCACTGTATCCATATTAAAACTGTATCCATCTTAAAACTGTATCATATTAAAACTGAATCCATCTTAAAACTGTATCATATTAAAACTGTATCCATCTGAAAATTGTATCATGTTAAAACTGTATCCATGTAAAAAATGTATCCACGTGAAAAGTGTATCCCATTTAAAAACTGCACCCCATTTAAAAAAAATGTATTCTGTGTCACATGACACTCGTGCGAGCGTCTCAAATGTACACGGCCCAGCGATATCAGAGTGGGCGCGCCGTTGCTATGCCAATGCAGTTGCACGATCGCACTCGCTCGACGCGTTAGACGCTCGGTAAATGAATGCAACGCATGTGTGGAAAATTACCCTAAAAGTATAAAGACGTTTAGCAAGCGGTAGAGCTCATGAACTTCTTAACGAGGGAGGTTTTCTCCTTTGAAGTCTTCTGCCAGTGAGAACTTCCTCGTGGTTTTGTACCGCTGGACGTCCGCAAACGGCACATCGTGATTTTCAACCGGCGGCGACGTCGTCATTTGAGGTCGTTGGCGGCGGCGGCGGCAAAAAACACCACCGCCAAAATGTCACCGAGATTCGGATTTTCCCCTCGATGCTACGAATTGCCGCAAATGCCACCCCCCTCTCCCACCACTTCGGTTATTAAAACCCATCGCTGCGTGTAGCACGCGCGGCTTTAGTGATGATAAGAGATGTGTGTAAATTGGTAGTTTTTTCCCGGAGAATGAGTTGTGATTGCGCTGATGGTGGTGGGGTCAGCGTGAGGTCAGCGTGGCCTCTCCCTCCCCCGCCCCTCCTCTCTCTCCGCCGCAGTTCATGACGGGCCTGGAGTGCGGCCACCGCTTCTGCGTGCAGTGCTGGAACGAATACCTCAAGACCAAGATCATGGACGAGGGCATGGGCCAGACCATCTCCTGCCCCGCGCATGGTTGCGACATTCTGGTCGATGACAGCACGGTCATGTGAGGCCCCCACCGCCCACCGCGCCCATGCCCGGAGCGCCCCCCCCCCGACCCATCCACCCCGCACCTGCCGTGAACCCCCCCCACCCCCCACCCACACACCTGGTGCTCACCCAACACTGTGTATCAATCCCCTGCCATTCCTGAGCCTCCTCCACCACCTCGCTCCTTCGCTCTCTCCCTATGGAGGTTGCCCACGGTTGAGCTGCATTGTTGAAGCAGAGTTTGAGTTGTGAAAGGGATGAGGTGAGAGCATGACCCCCGAGGTCCCCTCACTCCACACGTCCCCTCACCCCTCACCTCGCCCCTCACCCCGCGCGTCCCCTCACCCCTCTCCCCTCACCGCTCACCCGTCCCCTCACCCCTCTCCCCTGTCCCCTCACCCCTCACCCATCTCCTCACCCTCTCCCCTCACCCCTCACCCGTCCTCTCACCCACCCCCTCACCCCGCGCGCCCCCTCACCCGTTCCCTCACCCGCCCCCTCACCCCGCGCGCCCCCTCACGTGTCTCCTCACCCCGCGCGCCCCCTCACCCGCCCCCTCACCCCTCTCCCCTACCCCGCGCGCCCCCTCACCCGTCCCCTCATCTCTCTCCCCTCACCCCGCGCGCCCCCTCACCCGCCCCCTCACCCCTCTCCCCTCACCCCGCGCGCCCCCTCACCCGCCCCCTCACCCCTCTCCCCTCACCCCGCGCGCCCCCTCACCCTGTGTCTCCTCACCCCGCGCGTCCCCTCACCCTGTGTCTCCTCACCCCGCGCGCCCCTCACCCTGTGTCTCCTCACCCCTCTCCCCTCACCCCGCGCGCCCCCTCACCCCCGCCCCCTCACCCCTCTCCCCTCACCCCGCGCGCCCCCTCACCCTGTGTCTCCTCACCCCGCGCGTCCCCTCACCCTGTGTCTCCTCACCCCGCGCGCCCCCTCACCCTGTGTCTCCTCACCCCGCGCGCCCCCTCACCCTGTGTCTCCTCACCCCGCGCGCCCCCTCACCCTGTGTCTCCTCACCCCGCGCGCCCCCTCACCCTGTGTCTCCTCACCGCCCGTGTCACAGGCGGCTGATCGCGGATCCAAAAGTGAAGCTCAAGTATCAGCACCTGATCACCAACAGCTTCGTCGAGGTGAGCACCCAGCGGCACTCACCAGCAAGGCAAACTCCGGCTGTGTGGTTGTCTTGTGTTGGGTGTGGTTGTGTAACGGTTGTATAACGGTTGTGTGGTGTAAAACAGCTGTTGTGGTTGTCACATTCGTATGACCGGCTCTGCGATTGTGCCACTCTATATATTGGCTGTGCAGTCGTGTGAGCGGCTGCGTGGCTGTGTTTGCGGTTGTGCGGTTGTGCAAGCGGCCGTGCGTTTGTACAAGTCGTTGTGCGGCTGTGTGTGCGGCTGTGTGTGCGGCTAGTTTAACCGTCCGTGTGGCTTTGTAAGCGGCTGTGTGTGCGCCTGTTGAAGTGGTTGTGTGTGCGGCTGCGTAAGCGCTTGTGTAAGCGGTCCGTGCGCGGTGTGGCGGGCAGTGCAACCGGCTGCTCAAGTGGTGCCCGGCGCCCGACTGCCACCACGTCATCAAGGTGCCCTACCCCGACGAGAAGCCTGTGCGCTGCACCTGCGGACGCCAGTTCTGGTGGGTCACCCCCCTCCCCCCCCCCTCGTGTTACTCCCCCCCACCCACCCCACCCACCTCACCCACCCCTCACTCCCACCCCCCCCGCTTCTCGACCACACCCTCCCTCATCCCCCCACTCCCACCCGTTCCCCCCGCCCCCCCAACTCCACCGAGCCTCCAGTGATGACCGCGGGCAATGGGGGGGCGGCGTTGCTAACGCCCCGTGCCTTATCTTCTCTCTCTTACTGTGCCCCCCACCTCTGTCTGTGCCCACAGCTTCACGTGCGCAGAGAACTGGCATGACCCGGTCAAGTGCAAGGTGAGTGGTGGTGGTGGTGGTGACGCTGGTTGTGGTAATGGTGTGGTGCTTGCGGTGACGTCACCACCCATTGGTGACGAATGGTGGCTGTTGCGTTTGAGAGTGTGGGCGGGTGAATGTGAGCGAGTTTGAGTGAGTGCATTGAGAGTGTGAGCGAGAGTGGGCAAGGATGAGAGTGAACGGTTGAGAGTGTGAGCGAGTGCAAGTGCGGTTACGTAAGAGTGAGCGAGTATGGTGAGAGTGGGCGAGTGCGGTGAGAGTGAGCGAGTGTGAGAGTGAGCGAGTGTGAGTGAGCGAGTGTGAGAGTGAGCGAGTGTGTGTGCGGTGAGAGTGAGCGAGAGTGAGCGAGTGTGAGTGCGGTGAGAGTGAGCGAGTGTGAGTGTGAGCGAGTGTGTGTGAGGTGAGAGTGAGCGAATGTGTGCGCGGTGAGAGTGAGCGAGTGTGAGTGCGGCGAGTGTGAGTGCGGCGAGTGTGAGTGCGGTGAGAGTGAGCGAGAGTGAGCGAGTGTGAGAGAGTGAGCGAGAGTGAGCGAGTGTGAGAGAGTGTGAGTGTGAGCGAGTGTGTGTCGCCTCCGTGTGGAATCTCCGAGTGCAGTGGCTGAGGAAGTGGATCAAGAAATGCGATGACGACAGCGAAACGTCCAACTGGATTGCAGCCAACACAAAGGTGCATGCACGAAACACACACGGTACACACACCACACACACGCGGTACACGCACCATACACACACGGTACACACACCACACACACGCGGTACACACACCACACACACACCACACACACGCGGTACACACACCACACACACGCGGTACACACACCACACACACACGGTACACACGGTACACGCACCACACACACACGGTACACGCACCACACACACACGGTACACGCACCACACACACACGGTACACGCACCGCACACACACGGCACACGCACCGCACACACACGGTACACTCACGGTACACACACCACACACAGGGTACACACACCACACACACACACGGTACACACACCACACACAGGGTACACACACCACACACACACACGGTACACAAACCACACACGCGGTACACAAACCACACACGCGGTACACACACCACACACACACACGGTACACAAACCACACACACGCGGTACACGCACCACACACACACGGTACACACACCACACACACACGGTACACACACCACACACACACGGTACACGCACCACACACACACGGTACACGCACCACACACACACGGTACACGCACCACACACACGCGGTACACACACCACACACACGCGGTACACGCACCACACACACACGGTACACGCACCACACACACACGGTACACGCACCATACACACACGGTACATACACCACACACACGCGGTACACACACCACACACACACGGTACACGCACCACACACACACGGTACACACACCACACACACGCGGTACACACACCACACACACGGTACACACACCACACACACACGGTACACGCACCATACACACACGGTACACACACCACACACACACGGTACACGCACCATACACACACGGTACACACACCACACACACACGGTACACGCACCACACGCGGTACACACACCACACACACACGGTACACACGGTACACGCACCACACACACACGGTACACACACCACACACACACGGTACACGCACTACACACACACGGTACACGCACCACACACACACGGTACACGCACCACACACACACGGCACACGCACCGCACACACACGGCACACGCACCGCACACACACGGTACACTCACGGTACACACACCACACACAGGGTACACACCACACACACACACGGTACACAAACCACACACACGCGGTACACAAACCACACACGCGGTACACACACCACACACACACACGGTACACAAACCACACACACGGTACACAAACCACACACGCGGTACACACACCACACACACACACGGTACACAAACCACACACACGCGGTACACACCACACACACACGGTACACACACCACACACACACGGTACACACACCACACACGCACCACACACACGGTACACACACCACACACACACGGTACACACACCACACACACGCGGTACACACACCACACACACACGGTACACACACCGCACACACGCGGTACACGCACCACACACACACGGTACACACGCCACACACACACGGTACACGCACCACACACACACGGTACACACACCACACACACGCGGTACACACCACACACACACGGTACACACCACACACACGGTACACACACCGCACACACGGTACACGCACCACACACACACACGGTACACACACCACACACACGCGGTACACACACCACACACACACACGGTACACACACCACACACACACACACTACACACACCACACACACACACGGTACACACACCACACACACACGGTACACACACCACACACACGCGGTACACACACCACACACACACGGTACACACACCACACACACACACGGTACACACACCGCACACACGCGGTACACACACCACACACACGCGGTACACACACCACACACACACGGTACACGCACCACACACACGGTACACGCACCACACACACGGTACACGCACCACACACGCGGTACACACACCACACACACACACGGTACACACACCACACACACGCGGTACACACACCGCACACACACACGGTACACACACCGCACACACGCGGTACACACACCACACACACGCGGTACACACACCACACACACACGGTACACGCACCACACACACACGGTACACGCACCACACACACGCGGTACACACACCACACACACACACGGTACACACACCACACACACACGGTACACACACCACACACACACACGGTACACACACCGCACACACGCGGTACACACACCACACACACACGGTACACGCACCACACACACGCGGTACACACACCACACACACGCGGTACACACGGTACACTCACCACACACACGGTACACGCACCGCACACACGCGGTACACACACCACACACACACGGTACACACACCACACACACACGGTACACACACCACACACACGCGGTACACACACCACACACACGCAGTACACGCACCGCACACACACGGTACACACACCACACACACACACGGTACACGCACCACACACACACACGGTACACGCACCACACACACACACGGTACACGCACCACACACACGCAGTACACGCACCGCACACACGCGGTACACACACCACACACACACACGGTACACACACCACACACACACACGGTACACGCACCACACACACGGTACACACACCACACACACACGGTACACACACCACACACACGCGGTACACACACCACACACACGCGGTACACACACCACACACACGCGGTACACACACCACACACACGCGGTACACACACCACACACACGCGGTACACACACCACACACACGCGGTACACACACCACACACACGCGGTACACACACCACACACACGCGGTACACACACCACACACACGCGGTACACACACCACACACACAGCGGTACACACACCACACACACACGGTACACGCACCACACACACTAACGCACAACACACCACAACACACGGTACACACACCACACACACGCGGTACACACACCACACACACGCGGTACACACACCACACAACACACGGTACACACACCACACACACACGGTACACACACCACGCACACACGGTACACACAACCACACACACACACGGTACACACCCACACACACACGGTACACACACCATACACACATGGTACACACACGGTACACACACCACACACACAGGGTACACACACCACACACACACAGTACACACACCACACACACATGGTACACCACACGGTACACACACCACACACACAGGGTACACACACCACACACACATGGTCACACACGGTACACACACCACACACACATGGTACCCACACCAACACACACACGACACACCACCACACACGGTACACACACCACACACACGGTACACACCACACCACACACGGTACACACCCACACACACATGGTACACACACGGTACACCACCACACACACACAGTACACACACACCACACACACATGGTACACACATGGTACACACCCACACACACACTGTACACACACACACACAGGGTACACA